CCATCCAGAGACAAATTCCTTTCTTAGTTTTTCAAAAGAGTAGTGTTTGCTGAGTGTGAAGCAGCTAGCTCAACACAGCGCATTTCCTGTCAGAGTCTTCATGAGAAAGAGACAGCCTGCAGAAAACATCCTTCCCAAGGAAAAGAAATTTCCATATGCGATCACATCAAAGGCCAATTCAGACCTGGAACCATCACCTACTGCTATTCTGAATCAGAAGAGTGGCCCATCCACTTGGTATCCCTCTCTCCCTGCTACACTAGATCACACCAATAGTCCATTTAGTCCAGTATCCTGCCTCCAGCTGTAGCCAGGACCAGATGCTTCATAGAAAGATGTACATTGTTTCCAGATCTCACTGGGCAATACTATCCCATATAGGGCAATTGATTCCTAACTCTAGAACTCATTCATTTCCTGAAACACGACTATGGATGAGCCTTGTAATTTTATCCTGAAATTGTGAAACTTAGCATAAGATGACACTATTTTTCCATCAGTTTCCAAAAGGAGTTAATTCAGTTCATACAACCAGAACAATTTATTTGGGAACCATCTGTTGCTGCAAAGCTGCAGAAGAGGCATCAGGCTTGGTCAGCCAGCAAGTGGCTGAGAGGACAGAGGCACACAGGGATGAGAACACCTCCCAGGGCAGCCAGGGGAGATCACAGCTCCCAGAGGATGAGCTTAGAGATTGTGCTACAATGCAATCATCACACCAAACAGCAAAAATAGAATACAAAGAGGCAAACAAACTGTGTAGCAAGAGCTTTATGTCTAACCACTAGGCTGAAAAGAAGGTAATGGAAAGGAAGTGAGAGAGAGAGAGAGAGAGAGGATACGTGACTATCCTTGGATCTGGCTAGCTCAATACAATTGGAGAATGAGCTTGTGGAACTGCAATGCTTTTATATGGATCATTTCTCCTAAAGACTCTGCACAACCAGCCCCTCGATCTCTCAGGCTGTGACTGCGGCCCTCCCCCTTTCCAGTGGAACATTTTAAGGGCTCCAGCAGAGTAAACCTGACTCAAAACTTATGATGAAGATGGCTGGGGGGGAATGGTAACAGCACTATATCAAGGGTCCTCTTCTGCCTTCTCCCTTTTGTGTTTGTAACCATTCTGGTTTTATGCCAGAGTACTAGCACTCATCCTTCTCCCTCCATGGCAATAGATTAAGAAACACCAGCAGCCAGTCACTGGCAAGGCCACTTAGTGGGGAAGTAGGCAAAGCCTGACACTGGAGCAGGACTTGCTCAAAGCCCAGCAGCAGCAACAGGTAGTAGTGACTAACAGACCCACCCACAAGAATAGGTGCTGAAACCCAAGCCAGAGGGAGAGCCAGTCTAAGACCAGCTGTCCTTCCTACTCCTCCCCACACATTGAGAACACACATCTCAGATTGTGGAGGGGATGAATCTAGGTTTCAATAAAAGCAGACAAACGCATTAGGAAGGAAAAAGAAAAGAAGTACTTGTGGCACCTTAGAGACTAAGCAATTTATTTGAGCATAAGCTTTTGTGAACTACAGCTCACTTCATCGGATGCTGTAGCTCACGAAAACTTACGCTCAAATAAATTGGTTAGTCTCTAACGTGCCACAAGTCCTCCTTTTGTTTTTGTGGATACAGACTAATAGAGCTGCTACTCTGAAACCTGTCATTAGGAAGGAAGAGACCCATGAACAGGTAACAGATGCATTGTCTCTAAATACATCAGAGGGATAAATACCAGGGAGGGAGAGGAGTTATTTAAGTTAAGCGCTAATGCTGACACAAGAACAAATGGATATAAACTGGCTGTCAAATTAGTTTAGGTTTGAAATTAGAAGAAGGTTTCTAACCATCAGAGGAGTGAAGTTCTGGAACAGCCTTCCAAGGGGAGCAATGGGGACAAAAAAAAAACAAACAAAAAACAAAAACAAAAAAACCACTAACTGGCTTCCAGACTGGGCATGTTGAGTTTTTAGACGGTATGATGGGAATGCACACAATGGCATGTAGCCAATCAGTATGAGTAACAAATACCCTCAACAGCTGGTGATGGGACACCAGATGGGGAGGACTGAATTACTACAGAGAATTCTTTCCCAGGTGTCTGGCTGTTGGGTGTTTCCCACATGCTAACAGATTGCCATATTTGGGGTCAGGAAGGAATTTTCCCCCAGGTCAGATTGGCAGAGGCCCTGGGGAGTTTTCACCTTCCTCTGCAGCATGGAGCATGGGTCATTTGCAGGTTTAAACTAGTGTAAATGGTGGATTTTTTGGTGACTTGAAGTCTTTAAATTATAATTTGAGGAGTCCAGTAACTCAGCCAGAGGTTATGGGTCTATTACAAGAGTGGGTGGGTGAGATTCTGTGGCCTGCAATGTGCAGCAGGCCAGACTAGATGATCACGATGGTTCCTTCTGACCTTAAAGTTTATGAGTTTTTATGAATCCAAATCCACCTAAGAAGAAAGGCGCATCCCCGGCAACCGTGGCTCCCCAATTAACCCACCAGCACAGATCCCTCAGTGCAGATGCAGAGACCTCTTGGGCGCAGTGACCACTGGGGCCACACATGCCCCACTCACAAAACTGATCACTTGGTGCCATTTGTTCCTTCAGCTTACTCAGTACTGCTGAGACTTTGCGCTGCAGATAACTAGTGAGAAGAGTGGCTTTGTAGTGACAATCTAGTTAAAGATCCATAGACTCAGAGTAGTTAAGGGCCTTTATTGCACCTCAGTGGAGCCTCCCGCAGCCTGTTCCAACACTGAGTGAGATTTAGGGAAAGCACCAGAGCACATAGTCAGGGATAGCAGATCTTGATAGAGTACTAAACAGAGGACAAGCCATCAATGCCTGAACCTCTCTAACCCTCCCCGCTGATATTACCACTATCAAGGATTCAGTCTTCAGGGACAGACATTAAAACAACCTTAACCTAATGGTTCAAAAGGAGATTCCGTTAACTGGGTGAGAATTAAGTTCAAATCCTAAGAGGGGGTTCATGCACAGATGTGGAGGAAAGACTCAGGGCCTTTTAGAAATCTCTTGGCTGTAGGATGTCTAAAACTCAGAGAACAGGGACTTGAACTAGTGTTGTTGCTAGGAGGACCTTGGCCATGCCTCAAAGGTGACCTGCAAAGATGTTTAAGAAAACTGGTTTGCCCCTACTTTGCCGCTTTCTGGTGTATAATGGCAACCTGAAAGGTCTGAAGCTTGTGAAGTTTTTTTAACTTTAGAAACATCAGGAATATCAAGTCTGGTCTACCCTGCTTTTGCTGGATAACTTTTGGAGCTTAAAACGTGAACTCTTCCACCTAAATTAAAGATTCAAAAATCTGCCTCTTTAACAAAGACATCCTTTCTCCTAAACCTTCTAGGGTACGTTTACACAGAGATACAAACCCACAGCACCAAGTCTCAAAGCCCAGTCAGTTGACTCGGCTCGCAGGGCTCAGGCTGCAGGGGTGAAAACTGCAGTGTAAACATTTGGGCTCAGGCTGGAGCCCAGGCTCTAAGACTCTCCCCTCTCATGGGGTCTCAGAGTCCAGGCTCCCGGCCAAGCCTGAATGTCCACACTGCAATTTTATAGCTCCCCAGCCTGTGGCCCGTGAGCTCAAGTCAGCTGACCTAGGCTAGCTGCGGGCCTATGATCTCAGTGTAGACATAGCCTTAGACTTTGGAGCTCAATGACTGCTAAACAAAACCCAGAATTTTAAAGTGTGGTGAAAATTCCCTTTCCCTCTCAATTGCTCAGGTTTCGCTTTCTTGCAATACTATAGTTGCACTAGCTCTACAGTGGCCATAGAGTCTTCCAAGGAGACAAGAACTGAACTTATAATGTTAAAGAACAAAAAAAGCAGAATTTTCTTTTGACAAAACCCTTTGGGACTTCTTCATACAACACAAATAAAAGCAACGAAGTGCACATGCTCATGTACTTTCCCTTTGGACTGCCAGACTTTTAGATATAGGAAATTATCCAGGACTGCAAAGACAGAAACAGGTGCTGGAACAGTCTCTTTCTGTGTTGTCCAGAGTGAACACCTTGCACGAAGCTGTTTTATGGATAGTTTGCAATCTCCCACAAAAATGTGCTATCCTTCTAAACCATCATTATCTGCATCTGTCAAGGTTCCACTTTGCAGGCAGTCAGCAGCAGAGATTTGGGCTCTGGATAGAGAATTTGACTCTGCTTCTGCAACAGGAGTTCTGGGAGCATTAGGAGGCTCTAAGCAACAAAATCCAAATTCTGGCCTGACAGGACAGCACAGTAATGGCTTTCTTAACCTTGCACCAAATGTTTGGCTCCACCAGGCAGCACGACAAAGCTCCAACACAATCTGACTTCAGTGCCCAGGCCGCAGATACTCAACAGTGGGAATCTGTGCTAAAAATACTTGCAAACAGTGCCCAGAAGTTTTTTCCCCAGTGCTTCGACTGGCACTCTATCTATGAAAAGCTAATCAGATCAGTGATGGGTGCTATGAGTCGTCACCACTGAACAGACAGCGGCTGGTGAGTGATCTCCATTTCCTTGATGAGGCCAAAACATCTTAACACGAGGAAGAAGGGATTATAGATAACAATTCATCTATGGGAAGAGCCTGGCAAATGAATAAATTAACCCAGCTGTGATAAGAAAAGCATGCCAGTTTCAGATCTCAGATTTTGGCTAGTAACTTTCCCTCCCTCTGCTGAGGATAAAATAGTGCACCATGAAATATGTTGCCATGGGAGCAAAAACCTGCTCTGCAATTATGCATCTGCTACAAAAAGTAACGTGTTCACTTTCAGCAGTAAGAACCTTGGCTGTATGAGGGGCTGAGGAATGAAAGAGATAGAGAACGTACAGGAAACTTATTGTACGCTGTAACATTACATAAGAGGACATAATACATCCACAGACATACATGGAACTTGAGCCAGATGTACATGTGGCGGGATGGACAGACGCACACACAGAGAGACAGAGAGGTACAGGTGGACAGGTCGAGTACAGGCTCGTACCTAGGCCACTTTGCTTCATTTCGGAAGATTGTCTGGAGTAGGAGGAGAAGAGACGATACCCTCCAGTTTTGGAAGAGGACTCTGACAGCACCTGTAAAAACAAGAGGAATGCTGACTGCACCATTAAGGATTCCTGGCTACTCTACCCACCACTCTCAAGGGACTTCACAAATGATAGTAAGAGGCAGAGAGGATGTCTCATTTTAAAGACTGCATGGAAGGGACAATTTCACAGGCACAAAGAGCCAAGGTGTGCTTGATTCTCACTGGCAGTGACAGGGAGTTAAGCGTTGACCTGCCTTTTGCACCTTTAGAAATCTTCCCCTAAGGAACTCGGCACAAAGCTGAGAACAGAACTCAAGGAGTCCCAACTCCCATGCTCCAGCTCTGATCACTGAGCATTTCCCCTCTAGGGCACACACACTCATGTCAACACCATCAAGTGCAGTTGTTTCTACATAAGAACAGCCATGCCGGGGCCAGACCAAGGGTCCATCCAGCCCCATATTCGGTCTCCGACAGTGCCAGATGCTTCAGAGGGAATGAACAAAACAGGGCAATTTCAAGTGATCCACCCCCTGTCATCCAGTCCCAGCTTCTGACAGTTGGAGGTTTAGGGACACTCGGAGTACAGGTTTATGTCCCTGACCATCTTGGCTTATAGCCACTGATGGACCTATCCTCCATGACCTTCTCTAATTCTTTCTTGAACCCAGTTATAGTTTTGGCCTTCACAACATCCCCTGGCAATGAGTTCCACAGATCGACTGTGCATTGTGTGAAGAAGTAATTCATTTTGTTTATTTACTCTGCTGCCTATTAAGAACCAGGGTTCACCAGACAACAATGTGTTATGAGAAGAGGTAAATAACTCTTCCCAATTCACTTTCTCCACACCATTCATGATTTTATAGACTTCTAACATATTCTACTCCCCTTAGTCGTCTTTTCCAAACTGAACAGGTCCCCAGTTTTTTAAAATCTCTTCTCACATGGAAGCTGTTCCATACTCTTAGTCATTTTTGTTGCTCTTCTCTGTAACTTTTCCATTTCTAACATGTATTTTTGGAGATGGGGAAATCAGAACTGCATGCAGTATTCAAGGTGTGGGCATACCATGGATTTACATAATGCCACTATGATATTTTCTGTTTTATTATATATCTCTTTCCTAATGTTTCCTGACTTTGTTAGCTTTGACTGCCACTGCACACTGAATAGGTGTTTTCAGAAAAACACCTTTCTTGAGTGGTAACAGCTAATTTAGACCCCATTGGAAAACATAATTCCAACTATACATACAAAACAATGTGCATTACTTTGCATTTACCAACACTGAATTTCATCTGCCATTTTCTTGCCCAGTCATCCAGTTTAGTGAGATCCCTTTGCAAATCTTCACAATCAGCTTTGAACTTACCTATCTTGAATAATTTTCTAACACCTGCAAATATTGCCACCTCACTGCTCCTCTCCTTTTCTAGATAACGTATGAATGTGTTGAGCAGCACTGGTTCCACAACAGACCCTTGGGGGACCCTGCTATTTACCTCTCTCCATTGTAAAAACAGACCATTTATTCCTACCTTTTGTTTCCTATCTTTTAACCAGTTACTAATCCATGAAAGCACCTTCCCTCTTATACCTTGACTGCTTACTCTGCCTAAGAGCCTTTGGTGAGGGACCTTGTCAAAGTCTTTCTGAAAATCCAAGTACATCAGATCCGTTGGATCACCCTAGGATCCTCCCCAGACCATGGTTAATTTATTGTGTGCCAATCACCAAAAAGGCATCTGTGATTTCATGGCTGACTATAATAAGGAAGGCCCAAGACAGCCACAGATCCCTCAGCCACAAACATCCCTTCCCCCACCTCCAAGAAAACAGCTGGAATCAAGGCGAGTGACTAATCCCAGAAGGGAGGAGACACAGTGCTGAAAGCAGCTTGAAGGGCATTTGGATACCTGTGAGCTAAGTCCCCACCACTGAGACAGCCCATCCAGACTGAGCCTGAGGACAGGGAGTAAGGCCAGCTCAGCTCAGCTCAGTTGCCTACAAGTACATCGGCCCTATGGCAGATTAAGAACTTTGTAATAAACCTCCACTGCCCAACACAAATCACAAACAGCAGGCACCACCCCTTCCCATGATCCTACAGGAGACAGATCGGCAACATGGCACCTTCCAGTTCAACTTCATGAGACACCCAAGAAGAAATGAATTAAAACAATGCAGCCTGGAAGTGACAACAGTACATTTACTTTGACACATAGTTTTGCTAATACCCCACAATGCAGCGGATGTGCCTATTCAGCATTTCCCCAGTGTGCCTTCGCTGCAATTCACCCATAGTTATTTCCACACAATTAGAAAAGGAGTACTTGTGGCACCTTAGAGACTAACCAATTTATTTGAGCATGAGCTTTCGTGAGCTACAGCTCACTAAGCTGTAGCTCACGAAAGCTCATGCTCAAATAAATTGGTTAGTCTCTAAGGTGCCACAAGTACTCCTTTTCTTTTTGCGAATACAGACTAACACGGCTGTTACTCTGAAACCTTCCACACAATTGTCTTTCCTCACCAATTGTCCAAACCTTTTTCCTGCATTTCTCCTCCGTGAAGGTATTTTAAGGAGTTCAGTATGTCAGCCACCTAACCACTCTGCATTTAATAAACCTGCTTTCCCATCGGACACATTATTCCCTTAACTCAGTGACCTCCAACCTTTTTATGCCTAAGATCACTTTTTGAATCTAAGGGCAACCCAGAATCTACCCCACCCCTTCTCCGAGGCCCTAACCCTTCCCCAAACCCCCGCCCCACGCACTCCATCCATCCCCCCGCCCCGTTTCGGTTGCTTACTCTCCCCCACCCTCACTCACTTTCACCGGGATGGGGTTAGGGTTCGGGAGGGGGTGTGGGCTCTGGGCTGAGCCTGGGGCAGGGGGTTGGTGTACAGGAGGGGGTGAGGGGTTCAAGCTCTAGAAGGGAGTTTGGGTGCATGAGGGGGCTCCAGGCTGGGGCAGAATGTTGGGGTGTAGGAGGAGGTGCAAGCTCTAGGAGGGAGTTTGGGTGCAGGCTGGGCATGCAAAGGGGGTGCAAGTTCTAGGAGGGAGCGGTGTGGTGCCAGGGTAGGCAGGGAGCCTGCCTTAGCCTTTCTGTGCCCGCCGCCAACTGGGAGCCGCCAGAGGTAAGTGCCGGAGCCAGCACCCCATACCCGCTCCTTCACCCTGAACCCCTTCTTGCACACCAAGCCCCACCCTGAGCCCTCTCCCAGAGCCAGCACCCCAACCCACAGCACTCCGAACCCCTCCCTGCCTACCCCAGCTCCACACCGCTCCCAGAAGGGAGCAACACAACCCTGTGGCCCCTGGAGAGGGTGGGGGCACATAGCTCCGTGCGCTCCCTCTCTCTGCAAGCACCGCCCCGACAGCTCTTCTGGCCAATGGGAGATGCAAGGGCAGTGCTTGAAGATAGGAGTAGTGTATGGAGGGAGACCCCTGTCCCCGTGGCTGCAGGGCTGCGCTGGCCGCTTCTGGGAGCGGCGTAGGGTCGGGGTAGGCAGGGAGTCTGCCTTAGCAACAGTCACACTGCACCGCTGGAGATTGCGATCGACTGGGAGATCCTCTAGGATCAACCACTCGATTGCGATCGACTGGTTGGTGACCACTGCCCTAACTCCTTTCACAGCAGTAACTCAGACCCTGGTGCACTGCTAAAAGGGGAGTCCCAGAAAATGGAGCTTTTCTGCAACGGTAAAACTGAGATGCCAAGTCTGGGCAAGAGGACTAGATCAGAGCAATTGAAACTACACCCGCCCCATTACCTCCATGGATCCAGTTTTCCGGTTGCGGATCAAGGGCGATCTCCGCGGAATGCAGACTGGCTCAGAGGGCTGGGATGACCTTTCTTGTGCTTGGTCTGTCCCATCAATGCTCTTCACTTTGGAGAGATCCTCCATGCTGCCCTGGTTTGGCTTCTTGTCATCATTCTACATGAAGGACACACTAGCAGCGTTACTAACACAACTAGCAATGCAGGCCCAGGTGGGATTTACTCAGAGGAAAAAACAGGCCCAGCAGAATTCCAGTCAGACACTTGTACAAAATGAAGTGAGATTACATCTCCCCACACACAGCCTTGAAACCGGAGACAAAGTACCCAGCCAGCCAAGAAACTCAACCCGCAAACAACCCTCAACTGCCAGATACGCTACTGCAAGAGTGGGCCCGAGACATGGCCACTGCTGGCTGGCGGAGGCACTGCAGAATGCAGGGGAGCTGCTAGGTATGTGCTTGTCAGGGTGTGATGAAGGATTCTGGGTCAGACTGTGCCTGGCCCTGCTGTGAGCACACCAGAGCCTGCTTCCCCTGGATCACAAAGGCTCTCCTGAGCACACTTGGGTCCCAGCCTCTCTTCTAAGGATGGGGAAGAGGTGGGCCTGTGGCTTCACCTCTCTTTCATTACCGCACTGCTTTCCCCACAGGGGCAGTGCAGTTGCTGTGCTCCACACCATCTCCCACCAGGCCTGTGCCTCAGTGACACAGACAGGCCCTTCAAACAGGGCACAGCGACTGCAGACTCACTTCTGCTGATGCAGGCCGAAAGCCAAACCCTGTAGGGGCACTTCCATCTTCCTCACATCCCTTCACACCTGGGCTGAAATGAAGCTCCACGTGAAAACGCTCCTCTGAAGATGGGTCCTGAGAACACAAAAATCAGCCCCAACTTCAGTGTGGGCTGTGGTACTGGCCCTCTGCCCTCTCTCCTCCATGCCAAAATAGCACACCGCTTAGGCGGAAATGCAGAAGCAATGAGACAAGCACAGACACGCTAACCTGGGCTTTATGTCTCACCCAGCAGCACAGAGCTCAGTATTACGGTTATCACAGTAGCGCCTGGAGGACCCAATCAGGACTGGGCTATGCAAACATACCCAGAGACACAGTACCTGCCCTCCCTTCAAAACGGACCACACTGGGGAGAGCAAGTCTTATACCTTCCTGGACTTGGTTTTATAGATTATGACTTCTAGGACAACACAGGCTAAGGAACCTCACCCAGGATGCCTCCTGGCTGGGCTACAGCAGATCTTTGAGAAAGACACACCTCACCTTGATCTGAAGACCCCCTCTTGAAGGAGAATCCACTACATCACTGGGAAAGTTGTTTCAAGGGTTAATTACCCTGACTGTTAAAAACTTCCCACCTTATACTCTAGTTTGTATTTGTCAACTTTCAGCTTCCAGCCATTGGCTCTTTTTTTCAAATAGCGAACAAAGATATTTATTGAATACTTCTGTCTTTTCTGCATCATTACTGGCAATTTTATCATCTCTATCTAGTGCAGACTTACACCATTGCTAGAATTTTTTTCCTGGATGTTTAAAAAATTCTGTTATTGTCCTCTGAATCCTATTGGCTATAGATTTTTGGCATTGATTCCTCTGGCATCCCGTATCAATTGTTCGCATTTCACGACAAAAAAATAACAGCCATACTGTCAGACCAAAGATCCATCTAGCCCAGTATCCAGTCTTCCGACAATGGCCAGTGCCAGGTGCCACAGAGGGAATGAACAGAACAGGTAATCTTCAAGTGATCCATCCCGTCACCCATTACCAGCTTCTGGCAAACAGATGCTAGGGACACCATCCCTGTCCACTCTGGCTAACAGCCATTGATGGATCTATCCTGCATGAATTTATCTAGTTCTTTTCTGAACCCTGTTATAGTCTTGGCCTTCACAACATTCTCCAGCAAGGAGTTCCACGGGTTGACTGCGTGTTGTATGAAAAAATATTTCCTTGTGCTTGTTTTAAACCTGCTGCCTATTAGTTTCATTTGGTGACTCCTTGTTCTTGTGTTATGAGAAGGAGTAAATAGCATGTCCTTATTTACTTTCTCTATACCAGTCATGATTTTCGAGATCTCAATCATATCCCCACTTTTCCAAGCCGAAAAGTCCCAGTCTTATTACTCTCTCCTCATACGGAAGCCGTTCCATACAACCAATCATTTTTTTAAAAAGGAGTACTTGTGGCACCTTAGAGACTAACAAATTTATTAGAGCATAAGCTTTCGTGAGCTACAGCTCACTTCATCAGATGCTTAGCTCACGAAAGCTTATGCTCTAATAAATTTGTTAGTCTCTAAGGTGCCACAAGTACTCCTTTTCTTTTTACGGATACAGACTAACACGGCTGCTACTCTGAAACTAATAATTTTTGTTGCCCTTTTCTCAACCTTTTCCAATTCCAATATAACTTTTTTGAGAAGGGGCAACCACATCTGCATGCAGTATTCAAGATGTGGGCGTACCATGGATTTATACAGAGGCAACATGATATTTTCTGTCTTATTATCTATCCCTTTCTTAAAGACTGGTAATTTAATAGATTTTAAGGCCAGAAGGGACCATTATGATCACCTGTCTGACCTTCTGCATAATGCAAACCATAGAATTTCATCCAGTGATTCCTGCCTCACCCATCATTTAAGTCATTGCTATCAACGGCCTCTTTTTCCATTTGTGCGTGCAATTCCATAGTGCTCTTTTCTCTTTCCTTTTTTAATCAGGATAAGTTTTTCTGTGATTGGGGAATTTTGATTTTTTTGGGCATCTACTAAAAGAATTTTTAAACAACTTCCAATTATCATTCATGTTGTTTGAAGTTTTTCCTACTAAATCACTTTTAATCATAATTTTAAGCAAAATTGTTTTCAGCTTGGGAAATTGGCCCTTTCAAAGTGCCAAGTAAATATATTACTGGTTAGAACAATATTCTGTTTACAGATAACAAATGTAATTAGGTCATGTTCACTTACACCTCAGCAACCACTACTTTTTAGCTCAGTGATTAATTTATCTTTATCAATAAGTTAACACAATATTAGCCACAAATGCCATAGCTGGGCTATTCTCCCCTAGCAGAGCTCAGCCCCTACATTCCAATAACCAGAGCGCCACACTCACTCCCCCTAAATCAAGGGTGGGTTAACGAGTGGTAGCTGCCACAATGAGTCAGAAGGGCTCAGTTAACCTTTCCCTACAGAGTTCCAACACCTTATAACACTGTGGGTCAGTGGAAGAGCACAGCCAACCTATTACAACAGATCTGACTCCAAGTGCTCTGCTCCAACCACTTACAGATGATGCGGTCTCTTCTAACAATGCACTGCGAGAAGAGGGGGGGTATTCTCTCTTTTTCCGCAGTGGTCAAAGACCACCACTAACAAAAGGCTGTTACGTCTGGCCTCCAGCACCTCTGGGATGTTCCCAGCCAACGGGAGCTGACAGCAGAGGTGTCTGATCATAGATTCAGCTAGTCCTAGATTAACGCTGTGACTGGAAGCGGCTGCTCAGCAGCAGGTTATTTTTAAATACCAATTAAAAATCCCCTTAACTGAATGAAGGATTCTGGTCTACAGATTCTTCGCCAGATGGGAACTGTTAGCCCTAGAAACTTGTGTTTTGGGAGGCTCTTCAGCCCAGGAGACTCCCCGTCTCACATTTCAGAAAGAAAATGTGCAATCAGTTTTGGGGGCTCACTGCCTGGTATGACAGGAGGCCCACCAATACCAGTACCTTGCCACCTGGGCAAAGACAGAGTGCTGGATCCTGGTGGCCACTGTCTCACATCACAGGAGGAAAGATTTTATTCTAGTTCTAGATCCCTCACCTTGTTGTTGTCCTCGTACAGCATGATAACAATCTGGGTCATGTAGTTCAGTTCTGAGATAGCACTCAAATAGTCCATGGCTCTCTTCCACTGCTGGTCCTTGGACTCCTGATACATACACACAAACAGTCACATGGGATAAGCAATGGCAGACAACTTGCAGCACTAAGTGAAATGGGTCTGAGAGGGTTTCCTCTCCACAGTGTAACATCCCTGTCAGCACAGAAACATCTCACTCAGCTAATCTGCAGACAGAACCTCACACGGGGGGGAGAGGAGTTTACAGAAAGAAATGATTGCAGGAAGGGACACTCAGAATACAGCTACAGCCAGTGTTCAGATTTTAGCACATCCAGCAGCAGGCTACCCGCTAATGTCATGCTGAGAAATGGAGCATAACCAATAACAGCTTCCCTAACATGTTGGTTCTCAAATGGTGGTCTGCAGAATGAAATATTTGCAAGAAGCAGTAAGAAAATGGAGAGGGAAGAATGGAAAGGAAGGAGGGTTGCTCTTACAAAAGGGTTTGATGAATGGAAAAACTGGAGAACACTTTGGACATGCCATTTGCGAGACGGGAAGGGCAGCATGGTGTCCCCCGAGCTCTCACCAGGGCACAGCCATGCCCCCAAGGTAGCATGCCCCACAGTACAGTATCCCCTGACACCACAGGGGACGGGGAGTGGAAGAAAAACACTCTGCACATTGACCAGGAAGTTAGATAAAGTCACTTCTGGCCACTTTCCTCAGATACAGAGAGCTGCCACAGGCACATGAACCCGAACCTGCTAAACAAGCCCCAACACATGCAAACCTTCTAGGAATAGCAGGATAGGAGACCAAGCGAACCAAAGAACACAATTAGCTGTTTGTGAGGCAATGCATTTCTTAGCCCTTCTAATACCCACAGGGAGCGTGTGTGTAGAGCCAACCTAACCAACCAACCATCGAGGCTCGGGGAAAGATTTCTCTGATTCAAGCTCTGTGGTGATGTGAAATTCTAGGCTCTACTCTTATCAAAGGAGAGACAGGGCTCCGTCTCCAAATGCCAAGCCCTTCCATCTCCTTCTCACCGAAGGGACCCACTCATACACAGAACCATAGGACTGGAAGGGACCTGGAGTGGTTATCTAGTCCAGTCCCCTGCACTCAAGGCAGGACTAAATATCATTTAGACCATCCCTGACAGGTGTTTGTCTAACCTGTTCTTAAAAATCTCCAATGACGAAGATTCCACAACCTCCCTGGGCAATTTATTCCAGTGATTAACCACCCTGACAGTTAGGAAGTTTTTCCTAACGTCCAACCTAACTCTCCCTTGCTGCAATTTAAGCCCATTGCTTCTGGTCCTATCCTCAAAAGTTAAGGAGAACAATTTTTCTCCCTTCTCCTTGTAACAACCTTTTATATACTTGAAAACTCATGCTTCTCCTTAGTCGTCTCTTCTCCAGACTAAACAAACCCAATTTTTTCAATCTTCCCTCAAAGGTCATGTTTTCTAGACCTTCCATCATTTTTGTTGCTCTTCTCTGGACTTTCTCTAATTTGTCCACATCTTTCCTGAAATGTGGCGCCCAGAACTAGACACAATTCTCCTGTTGAGGCCTAATCAGCGTGGAGTAGAGCGGAAGAATTACTTCTTTTGTCTTGCTTACAACACTCCTGCTAATATATCCCAGAATGTTTGCTTTTTTGCAACAGCGTTACTCTGTTGACTTCTATTTAGCTTGTAATCCACCGACTCCTGGATCCCTTTCTGCAGGACTCCTTCCTAGGCAGTCACAAAGCGGAGGTAGTGCTGGTCAGAAGCCAGTGGTATGAGTCATTGGTGGGGAGTTAGCTAGAAGGGGTAATCTGCAGCCACACACTGTTCACCCTAGACAGGGCTGATGAAGAAAGGGGGAAGGTTTACCCTGTGGTACTGCTGGCACACTTACATCCAAGAGCCCCCCATAGCGGAAGATGCTGAGCAGGGAATGTACATGGCTCTCGCTGGTAAAGTATAACCGTGTCCGTACATGGCGACCTGGGGACAGGACTCCTCTTGAGTATCTAAACCAAATCAGCCCCAGTGTTATTCACAATGTAGTTCATACAGACTCTCTCAAACATGCATGCCTAACAGAGTGAAATAATTCTGCAGAGATAAATACACCCACGTTTCACGGTAGCAGAGGCAGAGCAAGATGCGAGGAGCAAGTGGCCTGTTACACAGCATCCTAAGGAACAGGCCTGTAGGAATAGTGTAGTCCTCTCCCCAACCAAACACCTGCTCCCCTCTGCACATTCTGATAAAGGCAGCAACACTCCCTCTCCCTGCAACGATGCACTACTGCCTTAATTTAACATCACTGGTTGGTCCATCTAGGTCAACGTATGGCATGGCCTTCTCAGGGCACAGTGTGTCCCCGACCAGTGCCAGCATGCAGCAAGGTCCTTACAAAGGGTGCAGCTTGTTGACAGACTCATCCTCATGGGTTCTTTGCAGGTCCAACTGGATCTTCTTGATGAGAGGAAGACAGAAGCCAATAGCAATCTCCAGCTTCTCCTCCTTATTAATCCCATATTCCTGCAGTAGTAACAGAAAGAAAAGAACATAAGAACCACCATACTGGGTCAGACCAGTGGTCCATCTAGCCCAGGATCCTGTCTTCAGACAGCAGCCAATGCCAGGAGTTTCAGAGGGAATGAACAGTACAGTGATCATCTAGTCTGACCTCCCCTGTACAGCACGGGCCACAGACCTTCCCCACAATAATTCCGAGAGAAGAGCTTTAGAAAAACATCCGATCTTGATTTAAAAATGGTCAGTGATGGAGAATCCTCCATGATCCTTGGTAAATTGTTCCAATTGTTAATTACCGTCACTGTTAAAAATGTATGCCTTATTCCCAGTCTGAATTTGTCTAGCTTCAGTTTCCAGCCACTGGATCATGTTATACCTTTCTCTGCTAGATTGATTCGCCCGTTATTAAATATTTGTTCCCCATGTAGATACTTACAGACATCCCTTATCCTTCTCTTTGTTAAGCTAAATAGATGGAGCTTCTTAAGTCTATCACGAGAAGGCAGGTTTTCTAACCCTTTAATCATTCTCATGACTTTTCTGAACCCTCTCCCATTGATCAACTTCCTTCTTAAATTGTGGGCACCGGAACTGGATGCAGCATTCCAGCAACGGTCGCACCACTGTCAAATACATAGGTAAAATAATCTCTCTACTCCTACTCAACGTTCCCTTGATTATGCATCCCAGGATCGCTTTCTCTTTTGGCCATGGTGCCACACAGGGCATATATGAAAAACGTCTACACTGGAACCGAGGTTGAGGTTGAACTAGGAGGCAGGCTGGTTGGAAGTGGCTGGGTCTGGATAAAAGGAGTGAAAACCAGGCTGAGGTCAGGGCCGGGGTCTACTACGGACCCCTGCCCCGGAGGAAGAGGAGGCGGCTTTTTAAACAAATAACAAAACCCTCCACAGCCCGGGGCTTGGTGGCGAAGCGGGACTTCAGCTACTCAGCACCTGTTGTGGAAAACAGCCCAGCAGGGCACAGATTATCCAATAAATTCTTGGAACGTCTTGGAGACAATTTTTTATTTCAGAAGATGGAGAAAGCTACTGGGGAGAGGCTGGTCTAGATTTGATTTTGACAAGTAGGGAGGAACTGGTTGAGAATTTGAAAGTAATCATGAAATCTTCGATGATCTAAAAATCAAGAGAGAGTCCTGCAAAAAGTGAAAACTAGGTCAAATGACAAAGGATGAATATAAACAAATAACACAAGTAGATAAGAACAAAATTAGAGAGGCCAAGGCACAAAACAAGATCAAACTAGTTAGTGATATAAAGGTTAACAAGAAAACATTCTACAAATACATTAGAAGCAAGAGGAAGACCAAGCACAGGGTAGGACCGCTACTCAATGGAGGGGGAAAAACAATAACAGAAAATGTGGAAATGGCAGAGGCGCTTAATTTCTTCTTTGTTTTGGTTTTCACCAAGAAGGCTGGCGGTGACTAGATGTCTAACATAGTGAATACCAGTGAAAATGAGGTAGGATCAGATGAGGCTAAAACAGGGAACAAAGTTAAAAACTTACTTAGACAAATTAGATGTCTTCAAATCACCAGGGCCTGATGAAATGCATCCTAGAATACTCAAGGAGCTGACTGAGGAGATATCTGAGCCATTAGCGATTATCTTTCAAAAGTCATGGAAGACGGGAGAGATTCCAGAAGACTGGAAAAGGGCAAATATAGTACCAATATATAAAAAGGGGAATAAGGACAACCCAGGGAATTACAGACCAGTCAGCTTAACTTCTGTACCCGGAAAGATAATGGACCAAATAATTAAGCTATCAATTTGCAGACACCTAGAAAATAATAAGGTGATAAGTAACAGTCAGCATGGATTTGTCAAGAACAAATTGTGTCAAACCAACCTGATAGCTTTCCTTGACAGGGTAAAGAGACTTTTTTTTTTTTTTTGGGGGGGGGGGAAGAAGTGGCAGACGTGTTATATCTTGACTTTAGTAAAGCTTTTGATACTGTCTTGCATGACCTCTCATAAACAAACTAGGGAAATGCAACCTAGATGGAGCTACTATAAGGTGGGTGCAAAACTGGTTGGAAAACCGTTCCCAGAGAGTAGTTATCCGTGGTTCACAGTCATGCTGGAAGGGCAAAATGAATGGGGTTCTGCAGGGATCAGTTCTGGGTCCAATTCTGTTCAATATCTTTGTCAATGATTTAGATAATGGCATAGAGAGTGCACTTATAAAGTCTGCGGATGATACCAAGCTGGGAGGGGTTGCAAGTGCTTTGAAGGATAGGATTAAAATTCAAAATGATCTGGACAAACTGGAGAATGGGTCTGAAGTAAACAGGTTGAAATTCAATAAGGACAAATGCAAAGTACTCCATTTAGGAAGGAACAATCAGTTGCACACATACAGAATGGGAAATGACTGCCTAGGAAGGTGTACTGCAGAAAGGGATCTGGGAGTCAAAGTGAACCACAAGCTAAATATGAGTCAACAGTGTAACATGGTTGCAAAAAAGTGAACATCATTCTGGGATGTATTAGCAGGAGTGCTGTAAGCAAGGCACAAGAAGTCATTCTTCCGTTCCACTCTGCGCCAATTAGGCCTCAACTGGAGTATTGTGTCTAGTTCTGGGTGCCACATTTCAGGAAAGATGTAGACAATTTGGAGAGAATCCTGAGAAGAGCGCCAAAAATGATAAAAGGTCTAAAAAACATGACTTATGAGGGAAGATTGAAAAAATTGGGTTTGTTTAGTCTGGAGAAGAGAGGACTAAGAGGGGACATGACAACAGTTTTCAAGTATGTAAAAGGTTGTTACAAGAAGGAGGGAGAAAAAACTGTTCTCTTTAACCTCTGAGGACAGGACAAGAAGCAATGGGCTTAAATTGCAGCAAGGGAGGGTTAGGTTGGACATTAGGAAAAACTTCCTAACTGTCAGGGTGGTTAAGCACTGGAATAAATTGCCTAGGGAGGTTGTGGAATCTCCATCATTGGAGATTTAAGAACAAGTCAGACAAACACCTGTCAGGAATGATCTAGGTAATATTTAGTCCTGCCATGAGGGCAAGGGACTGGACCAGATGACCTCTCGAGGTCCCTTCCAGTCCTATGATTCATGTTCAGCTGTTTATTCACCACAACCCCCATATTTTTTTTTCCAGAGTCACTGATTCCCAAGATAGAATCATAGAATATCAGGGTTGGAAGGGACCTCAGGAGGTCATCTAGTCCAACCCCCTGCTCAAAAGCAGGACCCATCGCCAATTAAATCATCCCAGCCAGGGCTTTCTCAAGCCTGACCTTAAAAACTTCTAAGGAAGGAGATTCCACCACCTCCCTAGGTAACGCATTCCAGTGTTTCACCACCCTCCTAGTGAAAAAGTTTTTCCTAATATCCAACCTAAACCTCTCCCACTGCAACTTGAGACCATTACTCCTCGTTCTGTCATCTGCTACCATTGAGAACAGTCTAGAACCATCCTCTCTGGAACCCCCTCTCAGGTAGTTGAAAGCAGCTATCAAATCCCGCCTCATTCTTCTCTTCTGCAGACTAAACAATGCTCAAATAAATTGGTTAGTCTCTAAGGTGCCACAAGTACTCCTTTTCTTTTTGCCAGTTCCCTCAGCCTCTCCTCATAAGTCATGTGTTCCAGACCCCTAATCATTTTTGTTGCCCTTCGCTGGACTCTCTCCAATTTATCCACATCCTTCTTGTAGTGTGGGGCCCAAAACTGGACACAGTACTCCAGATGAGGCCTCACCAATGTCGAATAGAGGGGACCTATCACGTCCCTCGATCTGCTCGCTATGCCCCTACTTATACATCCCAAAATGCCATTGGCCTTCTTGGCAACAAAGGCACACTGCTGACTCATATCCAGCTTCTCGTCCACTGTCACCCCTAGGTCCTTTTCCGCAGAACTGCTGCCTAGCCATTCGGTCCCTAGGTACCTTGGTACAGGCATGAACAGCTGTGCTGAGGCTTTAGACATAGCCTGATCTTAAAGTTATCACGTAATTGCACAAGTAACAAACCCATTCACTGCAGGAAAGTTTGGCAGGTTTGGAAAATATCATGGCTTCACCGCCAAACTTAAGTGTGGATGAAAGTGTCCGTTTATATAAAATACTAGAGACAAATCATCTGCATGCTCTACTGAAGGTCAAGTATGGACACAGATGAAGACACCCAGACATTCATGAAAAATAATCATGAAAGCCAGGCATTTAAATGGAACACTTGCTGCCAAAGAAAGGCCAAAGGTAAGATGCAGTTTTATTGGTAGAGCTCTTCCTGGACTCCAGAGGTTATGTTCAGTGAGATAGATTAAGATCTGAAAATGGCCATCTCTCAAGACCGTCTCATCATGCTTGTAGTTTTGATGCTACTATTGAACAGAAGGGTGAGTCCCTCTTCAACACCTCTGGAAAAATGAGCTCTGCCTTTGAAACCTGATAACAAGTACTATGTCCTCCAGGGTGTTAATACAGTCAGACAGTCATTTGCCCCATGCCAGGTACTCCAACTGCCAACACTGTATGATAGCTGGCAAGCTTTTATTTGTATTACAACCAAGAAGCAAACCTCACATACCCTTAAGCTTAGTGATTTTCCTTTTTATATCCCCCCCCCCCCCCCGCACACACACCCTGTGCATTCCAGATGGGAAGAATCATTGTATTGAGGTTTTTATTTATATTACAAATAAAAACCTTGATACAGTGCATTTCTGATGGGAGGAATCAAAGCTTTTTTACAGAAGCTCTTGTCAATTTCTGGACCTGACTGTCCACCAGACCTTGTGTACTCCATCAGCTCCAAGAAGGGTTTGGTAAAGCAGAAAATGGGAGGCCTTAGGGGTTTCTACGATCCATGCGTGGGCTACAAAAGACACAAAGACAGTGCTGAAAATTCTATGGTATCTAGGTATGCTTAGCGCGGATGCTCTGGATTGCTGTGTATTTCATGCTGGAGCCACTCCAGAATCAGAATTGAAACATTTACTTCCTGGTTTTTAAGCAGATAAATCTGAGGTCAGTAGCTCTGAAAACACCAATGGTCTGCTCATATTCCCTCCTATGAGAGGTCAGAGACAAACAGCCATTAGCACATTTATGCTGCCAGATCCAGGGGATATCAAAGTATGTTTCATGGCCCCTCACCAATAGCAGTAGGTCCAAATTGGACTGACAGCACATTCTTCTCCCTGGATCCTTTCCTACACAAGGGGAAGAGTTCCCAGCATCTCTTCTCACCTTTGCAACAGGGCTGCTGAGGCAGCAGAGCATCTTCCCTGCAACTCTGTGTGGCCTGCTGTGGCACAGCATCTCCCTCCTAGCCTTAACAGTCCTGCGACAGGTCCACCTGCTCTCAGGGAGACCCTGGCAAGAAGCAGACTCTAATCAGAGCATAAAACAGGGTCTTCCGCCCCTCCTTGGCTACCCTTCTGCCCCACTCACTCACAGTGCGGACCTCTGGACTTTCTCCCTGCAGATTTGGCTTCTACCCTCAGGGCTTCATCCCAAAGTCCTTTCCCAAATCAGATTCTCCCCAGGCTGGATCCTTATTCCAAGTCTATTTCCAGGCTGTCTGAGTGATGGCCTCTTTCCATCCCTGCCACAAGAGCCTCCTTCTCTCCTGCTGCCCTCTCCCTTGGGTCAGTCACAGGAGGGACTCTCCCTCCAGCAACTATCCAAACCCTGATGAGAGTCACCCAACTCTTCTGCACTTGGATCTGATAATTGACTTGAACCTCTTGATTCCCAGCCAGTCAGGATCAGCTGGGGGAACTGCTCCATCACAGGGAAGGCTGAGCCCAGCTTACCTTAAAAGGCCCAACCAAGTGGTGACAGCTGCAGAAAAACTCTGAAGCCAACAGGCAGCCCCTTGTGGAGTGATTCATCATATCCTCCGAGTCTGAGATCCTCTGAGATCCCCCTCCACTGCTGGCACCTCCACCCCTTCTGCAGAGGTGCCTTGGGGGATGGAGCAGAGAGGCCTCAGGGAATGGGATTGAGAGGTGTGAGTGGCGAGTGGGGGGCCTCAGGACAGGGGGCGGAGAAAGGGCAGGACCTCAGGGAGAAGAGCCAGAACATTGCAAACTCATATTAAAAAGACAACAACAACCCATACATCTTCTGTATTGTCAGGAAAAACTATCATCTGATGAATTTGACCTCCATCTTGATCTAAATTAAAAATAATAGTAAAAAAGAAACTTTAAAAACATTTTTCTTCCAAAAATAAAACCATAATTCTGTAAAACATTAAATATGATCTAACCAAAATTTGTTGACCCTTCTAGAGCAGCTTGTGATATTTCAAGGAAAAGGCATTGGCCTATTTAAAATTAAATGCTACTGTTTTTTGCTGACCACCCCACATGCATCAAAACATGGTGGCACACACAAAATAGTATTTTTTGTTTTACCATTTCACTGCTCCCCATGGAGGCAGACATCTTACATAAAAGTACATCAGCAATATTGTTTTTCTGTTAAGATGGCAGAATAGTGAAACCTTTGGATCCATAAGATGCCTTAGAACAAAAAGTCTAGGTGGGGAAAAAGGCTGTATCATAACCTCGTGCATAGGCACTGACTTCCCCTCCGCCCCTGTCCCCGTCCCGGCCTCACCCTCACCCCAATTCCATCCCTTTCCCTCAAGTCCCTGCCCCTGCCCTGCCTCTTTACCACCTCCTCCCCCGAGCGCGCCACATCCCCATTCCTCCCGGAAAGTCCTAAGCGCTGCCAAACAGCTGTTAGGCAGCGGGCTGGAAGCACTGGGATGGGAAGGAGTGACGACGCCACGCTCGGGGGAGGAGGAGGGGAGAGCTTGGCTGCCAGTGAGTGCGGAGTGCCCGCTAATTTCTCCCTGTGGGTGCTCCAGCCCCTCAGCACCCATGGAGTCAGTGCTTATGACCTCATGTCCTCAGACATGAGCCAGGCATCAGTTTTTGAGCAGGTTAGAACCCCAGTGCTAGATTCTCAAACCCAATCCTTGGAGGTTGAATTTCTGTGGCACAGCTGAGCCCTTGGAGGTAGGCTAGGAACCAAACAGAACCATTACGGGCCCTTCTTGGAATAAGGGAACACAGCTTCAGAACCTAATAAACTGATTGCTGAGGCTTCTGGTAGTATGCTCAAATAAATTGGTTAGTCTCTAAGGTGCCACAAGTACTCCTTTTCTTTTTGCGAATACAGACTAACACGGCTGTTCCTCTGAAACCTATAAATGGATTCCGTCCCACTCTTGACTTTCAAGGAGAGGGCCTGAAAGACAGGGCATCGAAGGGGAAAACCCTCTCCTAGACAAGCAGGACATCAAGAGTTTTCATGTGAACACGACCAGACAGGAAGACCATCATTAAGACTCCATCCCATAACAGAAATCCACCATCCTGAACTCAATTAGAAGTTTGCAATGTGATTCCCAATTTCCACTGGTGGAAAGATCTCAACAAGGATGTTCACGTCCCCATATTGGGCACATAGCCAGTAAGAAAAGCAATTCGCTAAAGATCACGATGTATTACTCCTGCAATACCAGGCTCAATTGAACAGGACTGGTCCAGAGCCTCAGCCTAAATGGTCCTATGCTGGGCACAGAATCACTAGATAAGGGACTCTTCCTACTCAAAGGGGTTGGATCCTCATGCTGGCTGGATCCATGCTTTGGTTCCAGAGGTAGACAATGGCCTCTGACATTTCAGGAGCCACTTTAGGCATACACCCAGGTCTGCTAGGTTGACCTGGACTTAACCAGGGATCTTAATTGGGAGCAGATCCTTAACTTGATAGCCAGACTTAATCAACTGGGCCTGAAGAGCTTTTCCACCAGCTGGGGGGTGAGGCAGCCTTCCCCTCTCTGCAGGACAATCCTGTACATTGACACTGGACTTGTACATGGGCTAACCTTAGCTTAGCAGGCCTGGAGAGTCTCCCTTGACAGTGAGGTTGTGAGGGAGCCTACCCTCCTGCTTGTGGTAATCTAGAGGAAGCCCGTGCCTGATGGACATCTCATCTTCTGCACTTTTCACTTAAGAAATCGGATTAGTTGGCTGATAATTTAACTATAAACAAAATTTGCCCCTAAATGGCAAAAGAAAAAACCCAACAAGATAAGCACACAGAACACTGTATATGATCAAAGTTTGCTACACCTTCAGTGGTTAGAAGGAACTGTAGGGTAGTTAGGGCCACTTACCTTTTCCTAGCCTTGGAACCTTTCTCGCTAAGAGGGCAAGGAAGGGGCAAGCTGACCTAGTGGACAATGCTCTCTAGAAGATACGGGTGGCTTGCAGAGTAGCTGCCTTGCTCCCACAAGTGATAAAATGCAGAAGAAGTAGGAACTACTCAATACAGTGAAATCCTCTTATAAACACCAACCAACCAATCACTTTCTGGTTTTTGCTCACAGTGGGGAAACCTGACACGGGCCTGAAGACACATCCCTTTGTGAGACCCATGTTAGACACTTCCGCTATTGAGAGCGAGCGTCACTCCTAGGAGAGAGGGGAAAGTCGAGCCAGACTGTACCTGGGGTATGATCACATCTGCCAAGGCTTTGGAGAGTTTGAAGAGTTCAGCAGTGCCCTCCAGCTTCAGAGTGCAATTGTGTTGTACATCATATTTGATGCAGTCATAGATATCAGGGATCTTGCTGATGTCATAGCGCCCATTCTTCATGCGGAAATCCCTCTCCAACTTGCTCCAGCGCTGCAGCATCAGCTCCAAAGTCTCACTGTGGTACAGCTGCAGGTCTAAAGAGCAGCAATAACAAAACAAATATGTTTTAAAAAGGGAAACAGAGGCTCTCTCTACACTGTGTTTGAAAACCTGCTGTACAGAGCCGGGGCTACAGGCTCAGGCTTGTACTAAAAAGAGCCCTGTAGACGTCCATACTTGGGCTGGAGAAACACACCCATCACCCCAGGCTTCAGAGCCTGAGCTCCAGCCTGAGCCCAGATGTCTACACAGCTCTTTTTAGTGCCTTAGCAGGAGCCTGAGTGCTATAGACCCAGGCTCTGAGACTCACTGCTGCAGGTTTTAAAGTGCAGTGTAGACATACTAAAAGGAGATCCTGAAGCATGATAGAGTAGTCAGCCTATCTTTGATACCTGGTAATTATTCAACAATCAATTTTTATGCTCCTGGAGGATAATAGGGTTATAAGCAATAGCCAGCATGGATTTGTCAAGAATAAACCATGCCAAACCAACCCAATTTCCTTCTTTGAAAGGATTATGACCCGGTGGGGGGAGAGAACCAGTAGACAGGATGTATCTTGATTTTAGTAAGGCTTTTGACACAGTCACACGACACTCTCATAAGCAAACTAGGGAAATGTGGTCAAGATGAAATTACTACGAGGTGGGTGCACAACTGGTTGAAAGACCGTACTCAAAAAGCAGTTATCAAATCAGCCATAGCCAAACTGGGAGGGTGGTGAAGCACTGGAACGGGTTACCTAGGGAGGTGGTGGAATCTCCATCCTTAGAGGTTTTTAAGGCCCGGCTTGACAAAGCCTTGGCTGGGATGATTTAGTTGGTGTTGGTCCTGCTTTGAGCAGGGGATTGGACTAGATGACCTCCTGAGCGCTCTTCCAACCCTAATATTCTATGATGTATCTAGTGGGATCCCACAGGGCTCAGTCCTGGGTAGGTACTATTCAATATTTTAATTAATTACTTGGATAATGGAGTGGAGAGTATGCTTATAAAGTCTGCAGATGACACCAAGCTGGGAGGGGTTAAAGCACTTTGGAGGACAGGATCAGAATTCAAAACAACCTTGACAAATTGGAGAACTGGTCTGAAATCAATAAAATGAAGCCACCAAAGTACTTTACTCAAGAAGGAAAAAAAAACCAACAAAATGCACAACTACAAAATGGGAAATAACTGGCTCGGCGGTAGTACTGCTGAAAAGAATCAGGGTGGGGAGGGGGGGAAATGAGGGTTCTAGCAGATCACAAATTAAATCCGAGTCAAAAATGTAAAGCAGTTGCAAAACAGGCTAATATCACTCTGAGGTGTATTAAACAGGACTGACATATGTAAGACATAAAAGAGGTAACTGTCCCGCTCTACTTGGCACTAGTGAGTTGTCATTTGGAGTAGTGTGTCCATTCTGGGCACCATGCTTTAGGAAGAGGTGGACAAAATGGAGAGACTACAAAATAGAGCAAGAAAGATGATAAAAGATTTAGAGATCCTGACTTATGAGAAAAAGTTAAAACAGTGAGTACGCTTAGTCTTGAGAAAAGAAGACTGAGGGGGGACCTGATAAGTCTCCAAATATGATAATGGCTCTTATAAAGAGGACTGGGATCATTTGTTCTGTATGTCCACTAAAGGTAGGACAAGAAGTAATCGGCTTAATCTGCAACAAGGGAAGTTTAGGTTAGATATTAGGAAAATCTCTCTCACTTGAACAGTAGTTAAGCTCCAGAATAAGGCTTCCAATGGCGGTTGTGGAATCTCCCTCATTGGAGGTTTTTAAGAACAGGTTGGACAAACACCTGTCAGGGCTGGTCTAGGTTTACTTGGTCCTGCCTTAGTGCAGTGGGCTGGACTTGATGACTTTGAGGTCCCTTCCAACCCCATATTGCTATGATTCTATGTTCACACCCAGGCTACTCTTATTTGAGTTTCAACTGACAAGACTGCACGTGTTTCCGATAGCTGGGATTCCAGCTGGGAAAGGAAAAATAAAGAAAGACCTACAGCCTCATAGCAAATACCACAAATGGGCTTGGAAAACCCAGTCACACCCAAGAAGTCTGCATTGTTACTAACAGTAATCACTAACGCCTTGAACACAGAGCAATCCAGCTCCTTGGCGTTACACCTTTCCAGAACATGGTTCAAAATAGGAATGGAAGCTTCCAGATCAACAGCATGCAGACCAGACTCGATATATATATTTTAAAGAACTGGAGCTTTCTACCACGCTTTGGAAGGCTCCTCCTCCGGAGCTGAACTATGCTGCTCAGCTGAGTCCAACTGCTCCCTTCATGCATTAGCCAAGCCTCTCTCCAAGTGTGCGTTTCCTAGGCCTCTTTACTGCAGACACATATTTATACAGCTCAGAGCTCTTGCTTGCACAGACCAATCTAGAGGATTCTGCTCTGGACAACCCTATTCCCAAGCCCAGCTGCTCACCTGCAGATTTGGGATCTTCCAGACGTTTGCATATCTGGGAAGTGAGGTTTTCGATTAGGGCAAACACCTTGTCACAGATCTCTACTGGGTTCTGGATGAAAGTCATGGAGTTGACCAGCGAGATGCTGCCTGTTGGTGCTAACTGCAGAGTAAAGAGAACACAAAAAGGTTAGTGTCTATTCATATAGAGAGCACAGAGCATCCAGCCCAGCCCCAGCAATTAAGCTTCCGGAAATGGTGTGCAACTGACAAACTAATGCCTTGTGTAACAGTCATCCTATACATCCACCACCAACAGCCTTTACCTCCCTGACCCTCCATGCCACACCTGGCCTGTCGGCAAAAGTCTCTCTCTATGGTACAGCAGAGACCTTCCAAGAGGGACTAGGTGGTATTCATAGGTGAGAAGCTGTCATAAATATAAAGGGAAGTGTAAACACCTTTAAATCCCTCCTGGCCAGAGGAAAAACCCTTTCACCTGTAAAGGGTTAAGAAGCTAAGATAACCTCGCTGGCACCTGATCAAAATGACCAATGAGGAGACAAGATACTTTCAAAGCTGGGGGGGGGGGGGAGGGGGACACAACAAAGGGTTCTCTCTGTCTGTGTGTTGCTTTTGCTGGGACCAGAGCAGGAATGCAGGTCAGAACTCCTGTAAAGAGTTAATAAACAATCTAGTTAGATATGCGTTAGATTCTGTTTTGTTTAAATGGCAGATAAAATAAGTTGTGCTGAATGGAATGTAGATTCCTGCTTTTGTGTCTTTTTGTAACTTAAGGTTTTGCCTAGAGGGATTCTCTAGGTTTTTAATCTGATTACCCTGAAAGGTATTTACCATCCTGATTTTACAGAGGTGATTCTGTTACTTTTTCTTTAATTAAAATTCTTTTTTTAAGTACCTGATTGCTTTTTCATTATTCTTAACATCCAAGTGTTTGGGTCTGTGTTCACCTATGCAAATTGGTGAGGATTTTTATCAAGCCTTCCCCAGGAAAGGGGGTGTAGGGCTTGGGGGGAAAGACATTTCCAAGTGGGCTCTTTCCCTGTTATTTTTGTTAGACGCTTGGTGGTGGCAGCAATAAGGTGCAGGGACAAAAGATAAAATAGTTTGTACCTTGGGGAAGTTTTAACCTAAGCTGGTAAAAAAATAAGCTTAGGGGGTTTTTCATGCAGGTCCCCACATCTGTACCCTAGAGTTCAGAGTGGGGAAGCAACCTTGACAGAAGCCATTTCCTTTTCTCTACTGGGTCTCAGCTTCTTCCATTCTGAGACCTCAGATTACAACAGAAAAAAAATTTGGGGGACCCTCCCCCAGTCTAGTTGTAAGGAAAGGAATGGTGGTCATAACCTCTAGGTTCTGTTCCTGGTCCCCAGGTTGAGTACCATGCTTTACTCCCAGTGCATCAGATGCTGATGAGGGCAAGTGCTGCCAGGTGCTTCATTAGTACAGAGGAGTCTGGGTCCTGTCAACGTACATGGAGTGGGCTGGATCCAGGCTTGATTATTTTACTTCTCATGCACAGCAGCCATGACTGCTCCAGGTAGACCTGAGAGGAAGAGGCCCTATGCTTGTGTGGGAAGGAAGTCCCCTTCACCTCAGAGAGGAAGAGGCCAACAAAGGCACACAACCAACTTGGCCTCGCATTAAAACACCAAGAAAACTAAAATACTCCAACAGGCTCCGAATCACCAGGATCCTGCTCCCATAATTCAGATTAATCGAGACCCTGGAGACTGTTGAGCTGCTGAGGTAAAGTAAGTACTATCTGTAGCAGAAAGCCAACACCGACAAGGAAATTCACCACCACCCTCAACGTGCCAGTGCCGCTTTAGAAAAACGTGCCTTCGAATATTGTGACATCAAGAATCAAACCAAACTTCTCATGTACCAGGCTGTTATCCCTGCTCTCTTGTACGGTGCTAAAACTAAGGTCATGTACAGTAGACACCTCAAGATTCTTGAAGGATAGCATCAACGGTGCCTCTGCAAGATCTTCCAAACCAAGTGGGATGCCCAACACACCAACATCAGTGTTCTGTCCCAAGGGCAAAACCTCCAGTATTGAAGCTATGATCATCCACCACCAACTCTGCTGGGCTGGTCACGTTCTTTGAATGCCACAAAATTGACTCCTGAAGCAGGTCATGTTCTCACAACTGAGCCATGGCCAATTGATATGGGGAGGCGGGGGAAGCACTTCAAAGACACCCTCAAAACTAACATGAAGGGCAATATTGACATAAAACTCTTGGGATGCCCTTGACTAACCAAAATGAAAAAGGATCCCAGTATTTTGAGATCAATGGAGACAACAGGAAACTGAGAAACAGGAAAGGAAAGAATGTGGCACAGCCCGACTCGACGATCCATATCCGCCCCTTCCACTGGGAAACGACTGCCTCAATTGAGGCCAGATCTATGGATCTCAGATCGGTCTCATTAGCCACCTGCGGATGCACCAGTGATAACTGGCTATCATTTTATGGTAGCCTGACCCAATTCAACCCCGATTCTGCTACTGTCTCCTGACCGCAAGTGAGTAACTGACCAGTATACATAGGCCGCCTGTGGCCCAGCCCTGATAAGATGTGTATGCACATGTGACACATGGCAGTGAGCAAGGAAGCACTGCATTTAGGCCACCACCATCACTAAGATAAAACACGGTCAGAATGCTGTCTCTGCCTTTCTAGATATGAGCAATGACGTGCAGAAGATTAGAAGATTAAAGAGTCATAGATTTTAAGGCCAGAAGAGAATTATGATAATCTACTTGGAGCACCCCCATAACAGAGGCCAGAGAATTTCACCCCGTGGTCCCTGCATCAGCCTATAATTCTGGCTGAAGAGATCCTTTAGAAAAAGATATCTGGTCTTAATTCAAAAAGAATCAAAAAGTGATGGAGAAACCACCACATCACCCAGCAAGTTGTTCAATTGTTAATTACTCCGACTGTTGGCAATTTACACCCTTATTTCTAGTCTGAATTCCTCTAACTTCAGCTTCCAGCCACTGGATTGGGATATGCCTTTGTCTGCCACATTGAAGAGTCCTCTACTATCACGAGCCTTTTCCCCGGGCAGTTACTTGCAGATAGTGATCACGCCATCAAAAACCTTCTCTTGGAAAAACTAAATAGATTGAGCTTATTTTTAGTTTCTCACTGTAAGCCAGGTTTTCCAGACCTCAAATCATTCTGAACCTCTCCAATTTATCACCAACATCCTTTTTAAAGTGTTGACACCAGAACTGGACACAGTGATCTGTAATGGTCTGCATATAGAAGTAACAGCACCTCACCTACTTGATATTCTCTTGCTTATGCATCCAAGGGATTGCGTTTGTTCTCTTAACCAGTGCAAGGCACTGGAAATTCATGTCCAGCTGGTATCCACTAGGACCTAAAGTCCCTTTCAGAGTCACTGCTTTCCAAAATACTCCCCATTCCTAGAAGCGTGACCCACTACATTCTTTGTTCCTACATGTGTGACTTTCACATTTAGCTGTACTAAAATGCATGCTGTTCAAAGAAGCCCAGCTTACCACACGATTCAGATCCCTCTGTAGAACTGACCCCACCATTATTTACCTTTCCACCAATTTCTGTGACCCCTGCAAACTTTACTAGTAATTATTTTATACTTTCTGCTAGATCACAGGTAACGATAGCGATTAGCACCGAGTAAAGAACAGATCTGAGGGACCCCACTTAGAACGCCCTCACAGAATGATTCCCCATTTACAATTTCTTTTTGAGATGTAGGAGACAAATTCTGAACCCATTTAATACGGGCTACATTGGTTCTGTACAGTGTTAATCTTTTAATCATGTCACATGGGACTAAGCCAAGTGCCTTACGGAAGTTTAAGTATATTATCTCAAAACTATTTCCTTTGTCAACCAGACTTGTAAGCTCATTAGAAAGTGATATTGGGTTAGCTACTTCCCATAAAATCATGTTGACTGGAATTAACTAACTAATTCTTTACCGATTTCATCCCGTATCGGCCTTTTCACATTTTCCCTGGCTCAATGTTAGGCTGTCTGAACTAGAACCACCCAGTTCATCCTTTTTAATACTGGCACATTAGGTTTTTCCAGATTCAGCAAGACCTGGGATGGCTCAGTCCCAGATTGACATGTCATTAGAGGAAGTTTTGAAACAAAATTGATAAATTAAATAATAAGTCACCAAGACCAGATGGTATTTACCCAAGCGTTCTGAAGGAACTCAAATGTGAAATTGCAGAACTATTAACTGTGGTTTATAACCTATCATTTAAATCAAATGTACCAAATGACTGCAGGATAGCTTATGTGACCCCAATTTTTAAAAAGGGCTCTAGAGGTGATCCCAGCAATTACAGGCTGGTAAGTCTGACTTCAGTATCAGGCAAACTGGTTGCAACTATAGTAAAGAACAGAATAGTCAGACACGTACATCAACATAATTTGTTGGGGAACAGTCAACATGGTTTTTGTAAAAGGAAATCATACCTCACCAATCTACTAGAATTCTTTGAGGGGGGGTCAACAAGCATGTGGACAAGGGGGATCTAGTGTACTTAGATTTTCAGAAAGCCTTTGACAAGGTCCATCACCAAAGGCTCTTAAGCAAAGTAAACTGTCATGGGATAACAGGGAAGGTCCTCTCGTAGATCAGTAACTGGTGAGAAAAGATAGGAAACAAAGGGCAGGAATACATAGTCAGGTTTCAGAATGGAGAGAGGTAAATAGTGGTGTCCCCCAGGAGTCTGTACTGGGAAAAGTACTATTCAACATATTTTTAAGCAATCTGGAAAATGGGGTAAACTGAGGTGGCAAAATTTGCAGATGATACAAAACTACTCAAGATAGTTAAGTCCCAGACTGAAGAATTACAAAGGGATCTCACAAACCTGGGTGAGTGGACAACAAAATGGCAGATGAAATTCAATGTTGATAAATGCAAATGCACAGTGGAAAACATAATCCTAACTATACATATAAAATGATGGGGTCTAAACTAGCTGTTACCACTCAAGAGAGAGCTCTTGGAGTCATTGTGGAGAGCTCTCTGAAACCATCCGCTCAAATGTGCGACAGCCATCAAAAAAACTATCAGAATGTTGGGAATGATTCAGAAAAGGATTGATAATAAGATAGAAAATATCATATTGCCTCTATATAAATCTGTGGTACACCCACATCTTGAATACTGTGTGCAGATGTGGTCGCCCCATCCCCAAAAAATTCTATTGGAATTGGAAAAGGTTCAGAAAAGGGCAACAAAAATGATTAGGGGTATGGAACAGCTTCTGTATGAGGAGTGATTAATTAGAATGGGACTTTTCAGCTTGGAAAAGAGATGACTAAGGGGGGAATATGATAGAGATCTATAAAATCATGACTGGTGTAAATAAGGAAATGTTATTTACTCCTTCTCATAACACAAGAACTAGGGGTCACCAAATGAAATTAATAGGCAGCAGATTTAAAACAAACAAACAAATGGAAGTATTTCTTCAGACAACACATAGTTAACCTGTGGAACTCTTTGCCAGACGATGTTGTGAAGGCCAAGACCATAACAGCGTTCAAAAAAAGAACTAGATAAATTCATGGAGGATAGGTCCATCAATGGCTACTAGCCAGGATGGCCAGGGATGGTATCCCTGGCCTCAGTTTGCCAGAAGCTGGGAATAGGTGACAGGGGATGGATCACTTGATGATTACCTGTTCTCTTCATTCCCTCTGGGGCACCTGATATTGGCCATGGTTGGAAGACAGCATACTGGGCTAGATGGATCTTTGGTCTGACTCAGTATGGCCGTTCTTATGTTACCTTTTCGTAATCCTCCTCGCAGAACTTGGCATCCTTCTGCATGATTTCATGCAGCCGTGCCTTCACTCTGTGCTGGCAGCTGCTGAGGGAGTCGCTATCACTGTCCAACAGCCCATTCATATTGGCACTTTTTACCATTTGTACCAAGATGGGGGTTAGCTCTCCCTCCAGAGCCAGGAGACCCTAGAGCAGAACAGGAAAGGATTTCAGCTCAGTAGAACACAAGCCAGCACACTTTCTAGCAAATTTCATGACTAGTTTCTCCTTCAAGTCACCAAATGAAATCCTAGCTGTTGAGGATGGTTTTAACAGTGTTTAGGAAAGTGCCAAAGATTCTGTCAGTGCAATAAGAACTGTTGTAGGTTTTGGCTGGAGCAGTCCTTGGCTGCCTACTGCACCCTTGAGTCACTGACTTCTAAAGGGGTGGAACCATTTATACAATGAAAGCTCCTTGCAAATCAGATTCCAGAACACACTAGGATTTCCCATTTGTCTGAGTGATATCCACAGACACTCCCAACCTGATCCCTACCCCACACTGTCATTTGGAACATTTCACTGCCCATTTACAACCAAGTGGTTACCAGAGAGCCAAACCTTAAACCAGGGGTGGCCACACTTACTGAGTCTCCGAGCCTCATATGACAATCTTCAGAAGTTCGAGAGCCGGCGCATGCCCGCCAGGGTTCGGGGCTTCAGCTCCCACAAGAAGCGCCCCCTGGGGTTTGGGGCTTCATCAGGAGTGGGGCTGAAGACTCAAGCTCTGGCAGACTCTCTCTCTGTGGGGCTGAAGCCCTGAGATCAGAAGCCCCTAACCCCACCACCCAGCCACAGGACAGAACCCCCGAGCTCCCGCCCAATCTGGTAAGCAGAGAATGGAAGGAGGGGCTCTGTGAGTCGCATTTTAACTGTAAAAAAGCCACATGCAGCTCATGAGCCACAGCTGGCCACCCCGCCTTAAACTAAGCAGTCCTCTGAGAAACAACCTTCTAAGCAACAAATACCTAGACGCATACAAATGGCTCTGGCATCATGCATACCCAGGATACCAGATGAATAACTCCCCCAGGGATCTGACTGATTCATTACCAGGCTTCAGCTACTGCTCCAGTGCTGTCAAACGCAGCAGAAATAGGAGGGTCATATTGCACTACCAGTGCTGTCCCGTGTAAACGTACAGTCTCTGTGAAGGGTGGACAGTCTCAGACACGCCCACTAGAACAGCAAAGAGGTTACCTACAGGAGAGCTCACCCTGCATATCACCTGGGCCTGCTTTAAAAGGAAAATCATTATTGAGAGCTATCTAGTGAAGTTTTGTAGCCGCTCCAGATGGTGTAGATCCTTTGCTGCTGGCCATCAGCCCTACAGCCAAGAACCACCTCTGGGTTATCTGGGCTGCAGCAGACATGGCTGTGAACTGCGCAGATGCCATAAGAGAGGAGTCACCTTTGCAAAAGCTGCTGCTGTCATCTGAACCCTGCCCTCATCTGAAGCATAGATCTTGAGGTCATGACGGTAGGTGCTATGCAGTCTGAGCAGGCCACACCCTGGGAAGCCAGCATAGTCACCTGGAACAGAGAGCAGAGACTCAAACACAACTTTCAAATACCAACAGCTGTCAGCTGCTAGGACCTGTCGGAGTTAAATGCACCTCCAAAATTCTACTCCTTTAGGGAACAGATACATTCCTGAGACAGTTACAGTTCTCTGCAAAGTTCAGAAACATACACACTTACTCAGTCTTTGGGTTTGCACAGAATGCAACTGTGGTAGGGAAGGCCCTGGCACAGGCTGAAAAAACAGGCTAAGAGTTCTACTGATCCACTGCAGGATGGGACCGATCCATGTAGTCCTAGCTGGACTGGGCCAGGGAGCAGAGAAATCATCATATCCAGGAAGGGTTGGTGTCAACAAGTTACTGCTATTAGAGTGGGTCCTTGTAGTGAGGCGCAGGGGCCTCCCACTGAGCAAAAGGGAACCCACTACACAAACCCACTACACAAACCCACTACAACCCTTAATTACTTGCAGGGAACAAACCCCCGAGTCAGTGATTAGGGGCTAAAGAAGACACCTGGGTACTCAGAGCCATTCCTATTGACAGCCCATTACTAGCCCCTGAACGACAAACTGCAGGGTCAGTTTACCCAGTGTCATCAGGGGAGCACCCCTGTCTCTACTAGAGCCTCAGGTGGGTGGGGGGGGGGGGGAGAGGGGAAATCACATACTGTATGACTTGAGTTGCAAATAAAATCTTCTCTTCCTGGGTCTGGTTTATTAACAGACTAAATTAACTTCTATTTGCATTACAAACCCCTTTCTGTTCATGCCTGTCCTCTGTCTTCCACAGCCCTCTTTCTAGGGACAGTGACTAGTCATTACTAAAGCTGCAAGTCTGTCATGGAAGTCAAGGATTCCATGACTTTCCGTGACTTCTGCAGTGGCTGGTGCTAGCTCAGGGACTGTGCAAGCCGGGCAGCCCCAGGGCCAGTAGCAGCAGTTTGGGTGTGTGGGAGGGGGCTCAGGGTTAGGGGCAGGGGTTGGGGAGTGCAGGGGGGTGCTTACCTTGGGCTGGGGGGCCCCCCAGCTCCCACTAGCATGAACCCCCTGCAGATCCTAGATGGCAGAGGGGTCTCCACGTCGTACACTGTCTGCAGGCCCGTCCCCATAGCTCCCATTGACTGCGGTTCCCAGCCAATGGGAGCTGCGGCAGCCGGCACTTGTGGCGGGAGCAGTGGAGACCCTGCCGCCTAGAAGCTGCAGGGATGTGGAGCCAAGTAGGAAGCCCCTGCCAAACTCCCCCCCCCCCGGGACCGGTACCAGCAGGGGTCCCAGGCCACACGCCACAGCCCAGCTCCCCGCTCCTCCGACATCTGCTGTAGAACTGATAAATGAAATTGTTCTAAGAAAAGTTTTATGAATGAAACAACATTCATTCATAAAACGGTCACCCCAATAACTAGCTAATTGACGATTAAGATGCTTGTTAAGAGCCATAGCTGTTCAGCCAGCTGCCCTTGTAAATTTCACTTTCAATCCAATTGCTGCTTAAATCACTGAAACTTGCACTATTTCAACATTATAACTTCCACTCACTGTTTGCCATTCATTATACTTGTCCATATTGTAACTCAAACTCCATTTTAAAATGCTCACTCCATTTTGTAAAAGCCTGCTGCAACCTTCATTTTGCAAAACGATTTGCTGATGTAATCTTATTAGTTTAGATGTACGAATGAGGTACGTATGGAGGATGGAATCAAACTCCAGCCCCAGCCCGTCCTGATGAAATAAAGTGTAAACACCAATGGCTGAAGATGCAGACAACAGCCTTGACAAAGCAAGAAGAGTCCACCCTAAAAAGAAAAAGAACAAAGGTACAACTGAAGGAACATCAACGCCAGGTCCCAGGCTGAAAGTCATGTCTGCAATTGATGGGTGATCAATCACACCGAACCCAGAGGCGTCGTGACACAGCAAGACCTATAGACTCTGGATTCAAACTAAAGCCTACAAAAAGGATGGCTGAGATGGAAGACTTTGGAGGGTAACATTCTGCTGCCAACATGGAGCAGCATCAGTGCATGCCCGACAGAGACCCAGCCCTTCCTCCTGCCTGGCTTTCCTGGCCAGTTAGCCACCATAAGCTACGATCCCAAGCCGCGAACTCAAGCTACGTTCAGGACTGGTAACTATCCAGCAGGTGTAGAAAATATAAATTTTGTGTGTGTGTGTTACACACACACACACACACACACAGAGAATATATAAGAAAAATTAGGTATGAGCTAGTGGTTATAGATCAAATTGTCAAATAAACGTGGCATTTTTGCCTTGTTCCCTAAAATGATACTGTGTAGTTTTGCCTGCATAACACCGTGGGGGTCCCGTCCCACCCCCCGAGCACCCGCGTCCCTCTGGCCAAGTTTTAGTCAGGGCAGGTATTTTTAGTAAAAGTCATGGACAGGTCACGGGCCCATGAATTTTTGTTTACAGCCCGTGATCTGTCCATGACTTTTACTAAAAATACTCGTGACTAAAACATAGCTGTAGTCATTACATCTCTTGGCTTCAGGGGTCCACCATAGCACCAGGCAGTCCCTGCCCCTCTCACCAGCTTCTGACCATATACGCACTCAGACTCCACACCCAGGTCCTTGCCAGCAAAAACCTAAGTACCACTGCTGTTCCCGTTGGGTCTCACGGTGGAGACACAACCTGCTCTCCCCCAGGTCTCATTTTGAGTACACATCAGGACCTAGCTTTTATTTTTTTCCCTTCTTCTCCCTGCAGGGCTTGCTCTCTACCTACTCATGTAATTACACACATTTCCTAGGCACTACACATCAGAAAGCCTGCTCTTAAAGGAGACAACACTGTTACAGGATGAGAGGCAGAGAAGAGATGCCAGAATCAGTTACATACTCTAGTTGCAACAGCATAGCCCTTATTGTCTCCAGGTTTGTCTGGCTCCCACTGGTTCCCATTATACTGTAAACTGCAGCACTATGTATATTTAAAGACTTCATAAACTATAGTAGCGAAGCAGCAAGGCTCTTGGAAACAGCATGCAAGCCTGCACATCAGAACAAGAACGGCAAACATCTCACTGTGCAGGCACATGAAGATACCTTGTGCACACAAAGCTGGAGCCAGCCAGTCCGAAGTCAAGCATTTCTAATGGACTCTCAGAGTTTAAGGCCAGAAGGGACCATTAGATCAAGTCTGACTTCCTGTATATATCTCAAGCTACCCCTGCACGGAACCCAATAACTTGTGCTTGATGAAAGCATCTTCCAGAAATGTACCAGTCTTGATTTGAAGACATCAAGACTTGGAGAAACATAGAAGAGTAAGACTGGAAGGGACCTTGAGAGGTCATCTAGTCCAGTCCCCCCCATAGACAGGGCTATGTAATAACTAGACCATCCCCGACATGTGTTTATCTAACCTGTTTTTAAAAAACCTCCAATGACAGAGATGCCACAATTTGTTCCAGTGCTTAACTACCCTGACAGTTAGGAAATTTTTCCTAATGTCCAACCTAAACCACCCTTGCTGCAATTTAAGCCCATTGCTTCTGGTCCTAGCCTCAGAGGTTAAGGAGAAAAATTGTTCTCCCTCCTCCTTGTAATAATCTTTTATGTACTTGAAAACTGTTGTCATGTCCCCTTTCAGTCTCCTCTTCTCCACAACAAACAAACCCAATTTTTTCAAGCTTCGTCATAGGTCAGGTGTTCTATAGCTGTAATCGTTTTTGTTGCTCTTCTCTGGACTTTCTCCAATTTGTCCACATCGTTCCTGAAATGTGGCGCCCAGAACTCCAGTTGAGACCTTATCAGCACAGAGTAGATCGGAAGAATTACTTCTCATAACTTGCTTACAAGACTTCTGATAAACACATCTCAGAATTATGTTTGCTTTTTTTGCAACAGCATTACTCTGTTGACTCACATTTAGCTTGTGATCCACTATGACCCCCAGGTCCGTTTCCGCAGAACTTCTTTCTAGGCAGTCATTTCCCATTGTGTATATGTACAACTGATTGTTCCTTCCCAAGCAGAGTACTTTGCATTTGTCCTTATTGAATTTCATCCTATTTACTTCAGACCATTTCTCCAGATTGTCCAGATCATTTTAAATTTTAATCCTATCCTCCAAAGCACTTGCAACCCATCCTAGCTTGGTATTGTCCGCAAACTTTATACATTTTAAAAAAGGCTCCAGAGGCAATCCTGGAAATTACAGGCTGGTAAACCTAACTTCATTAGGTTGAAACTATAGCAAAGAACAGAATTATCAAACATACAGATGAACACGATTTGTTGGGAGGGGGTGAACATGGTTTCTGTAAAGGAAAATCATGCCTCACAAATCTATTACAATTCTTTGAGGGAGTCAACAAGCATGTGGACAAGGGACATCCAGTGGATACAGTGTACTTAGATTTTCAGAAAGCCTGTGACAAAGTCCCTCACCAAAGGCTGTTAAGCGTAGTAAGCAGTCATGGGATAAGAGGGAAGGTCCTCTCATGGATCAGTAAGTGGTTAAAAGACAGGAAACAAAGGGTAGGAATAAATAGTCAGTTTTCAGAACGGATCTCCCAGGGATCTGCACTGCGGCCAGTGCTGTTCAACATATTCATAAATGATCTGGAAAAAGGGGTAAATAGTGAGGTGGCAAAATTTGCCAATACAATACTACTCAAGATCGTTAAATCCAAAGCAAACTATTAAGAGCTACAAAGGGATCTCACAAAACTTGATTAGTGGGCAACAAAATGGCAGATGAAATTCAATGTTGATAAATGAAAAGTAATGCACACTTGAAAACATAATCCCAACTATATCTATAAAATGATGGGGTCATAATTAGCTGTTACCACTTGAGAGAGATCTTGGAGTCATTGTGGATAGTTCTCTGAAAACATCCACTCAATGTGCAGCAGCAATCAAAAAAGCTAAACAGAATGTTGGGAATCATTAACAAAAGGATAGATAATAAGACAGAAAATATAATGTTGCCTCTATATAAATCCATGGTACGCCCACATCTTGAATACAGCATG